CTGGAAAGATCAATTTTTTATCCAAATAAATAAATAAAAATTTGTCTTCAGCTGCTCGATCTAATGCCCCTTTGAATGACAAAAAAAAAAAATGGAAATTCTAATATTTATTTATGTGTGCTTGTGTTGTGGACTATTTTTTTTTCTTTCGGTGGACTAAATAAAAATAAAAAATGTAGTAAATTGACATTTTGATTTCTAAAATAAATAGGAATTTCGCTGTTTTTCTGATAAAAATTTTGTTTATTCTTCTTTTGGATGGATCATTTTTAACAAAAATAAAAACTTAAAAGTGATTTGATTAATCCCTAGTGAGAGAAATAAACTCAAAGAGAAAATTTTAGGTGAAATTTCACATTTTAAAAAATATTTAAAATAACCCATGTCTTTATAATTATTGATGACTTGTATAGGATTAATTACACCTCTAATATTGAATCAATAATTTGAGAATATAAAGAGATTTTTATAAAAAAAATATAAAAAAAAATCAATTTTATAAGATCTAATCATATCAAATGTTGTTATAGTGAAAAAATAAAACAATCAATAGCGTGATTTATTAATAAAATGTTAAATTTTTTATTTTAAAATTTAAATTATATTAACGTTAAATACCATAAAAACCAAATAAGAAAAACCCTAAGTATAATTAGGCAAATAATTATGCATTAATTATTCAATAAAATTGTGCTTGTATTTTGACAAAGCAGCTTGTGAGAGGATATGGATTGTGAGATTTTTTTTAAATTTTCTTCTAGTTTTATAATGGGATTCTTTTAATAAATACATAAAAAGAAAATTTTTTTTAGCTTTTATAAAGTCTTAACTTGATTTATTTCATTTTATAAAAAAAAAAATCCAAAGAAATGCATTAATTTTTAACTATATAAATTTTAAGTAATCAATAAGGAGCAAGAAGTGATAAAACCACCCCAACAAATCTTATTGTTCTAATAATTACAAAATGCTTGACAAAACAAAGCCTTGGTTTCACTTTGATTTTCTTATGCAAAAAGGATAATTACTAATTGCATGAGAATGATTTCTTTGTCCCAAAGTCAAATCCATAAACATTTCTTAAATATAAGGTTGCCATTTGTCATTTGAAAATTTATCTTCTTCATCTTCTTTCAGCCAAAGGGGCCCTTTGGAGAAAATTGACTAATTAATTGGCAACAAAAAAATATAACAACATCAGCCTCTTGAAAACAAAGACAAAGTGGTTGAGTCAGATTTTGTCATTTATGTACTTAGGCAATTGCAAAGGGTTAAGGGATTTTGAGGGCAAATTGTCCCTTTGACTTGTTACTATTTATGCTATGGACACTATACATTGAAAATAATGGCTACCATTTGTGTGCTTTTCTTGTGACTTAATATATATATATACATTTGTGGGTCATGGATCATGATTCATTCTCCATTTCCCATCTCATAAATTTTAATTTCGAGACTTTTAAATTGGAATCAATGTTGAAATATCCTTTCACGGATTTTTTTTAAATTGAAATTAAATTTTTTAATACAAAAAATATCGTAATTTATAAAATATATATATATATATATAATGAGATTTGAATTCTAAACTTATTGAATGTCATATCTTAAAGGTGATTATATGAATCAACTGAATTAAATTTTAATAAAATAAAATAATTTATTTTTTAGACTTATATCATTCATCGATTTATTTTAATTAGTAACAAGGTTTTATGTGATAATGATGAAAGCTATGTATTTGGACATGCTGTAATGAAAATAAAAAAAAAATAGTCATAGTTTTGCATATATTAAGCTTTAAATTTATAATAATTGAAGATAATAAAGTGATTTAAATATAAATTTATATATATTTAGCATTATTTATATAAAGTGCTAATTATAAGTCATCTCAGCATAATTGAAATGGTTGGGTATATAAATAAATAGCTAGAGGAGAAATTCTTTGTGTTAAAGGGTAAAAAAAAAAAAAAAGCAAACCACTAGACTATACTTAATAAAATGACTTAATTTAATGTGTCATAAAAATGAAGGGGGATCAATACAAAGAAATGAATACTTTTTTCGCGATGTTTTATTAAAAAAATATTATCAATTTTCAAAACATGAAAATAGTAACAATGTTTTAAAAATAAAACGTTGTTGTTTGTTATCTTAAAATGCCGCTAACATATAAATTAAAAAAAAATTTAAAATAGAGCTCATTGCATTCATCAAGGATTGAACTTGCAATTATTATATAATATACTCAACTGTCCAAAGCAAAAACAAATTTGGTATACCAATAATTTACATCACATATATGTCCCTTTTGGTTTTATTGTCAGCACATATAAAAAAAAAGTGGAAATATTGCTAGCATTTTCTCTAGTTCTATTCTATTTAAGGAGACATGCAAAATGTTTCTATCACAATTAACAAGTATAGAAAAGATAAAGAAAACAAATTAAACATTTTGAAATATAGGTCACTTTCTGATGAGTAGGACCAACCCATTTATTTGGTTTAATTAACTGATTAATTAATTAATTAATTAATTAAAGATGGCTTTTGACTAAGGAGCTTGAGATCTCAATCATAAATTTGTTTCTTATTGAAAAATAAATAGTAGTCAAAAGATAAAAAAAAAATTATAACTATTAAAATTTAAATTTCGCATTTGTAATATTTTTCATCTAAAAGATGAAAACATAATCAATTGAGCCAAACACTCAGATGTCATGCTTTACTTTGATTTAACAAAATGAACAATTGACATTTGATATTTCTTAAGGTGCTTTCTTGGTGAGTAACCTAAGATGGTTTTGATATAGATAATTTTTCACTTAATATTAATTCTTGATCAAATTTGTTTTATATAGATAATTCCAAATATTTAAAATCTTTTTAATTTAAATTTAAAATAATTTGAACCTAAATTAACACTAACACAAAAAGATAACTTGAATTTCAATTAATTTGTTTTTAAAATTTAATAATTAAAATATGAAATGACTTGAATTCAAATAATTTGAACTCAAAATTACTTAAGTTTCTTTTGATACAAAATGATTCAATCCCAAAGTGATCAAATTCAAATTTAACTCGACGTATCAATTGCCAACTGTATTAATTAGTTTAAAGGAAGAGAATAATTTGAATCTTGAAACTTATTCTTTTAGGTAACTATGATATAGATATATATTTCTCTAACAACTTCATGATGTATTTGGATAACATCTCTATGAAAATTTGTTTGGTTAAACAAAAAAAAAAAAAATGCGAACCATACAAAAGCATTCACATATCTAGATCCCTTGCAAGTTTATATATCCCATAAAATAGTTCTAGCTTTTACATTTTTTTTAATTTTTTGGTTTAAAATAATTATCTAAATCAAATTAGCGATTTGGCAAAACCTGAATTATGATCAATTACCCCATGAAAACAAAAGGGGAAAAAAAAAGATTTCTATAAAATTGAAGTTTCCTTAAATATTCATTTACCTTTTCCAAGTTTGGTTGAACAAATCTTTTTATAAGGCATCCTATGATCCTAACAAAGGAAACTGGTGAGCACTCACCAAACCAGGGAGGCCAAGCTTTCCAACAGGTTACTATTTTCTATTATTCATGATGGGAGTAGGGAAATTGTCTTTTTCCCCTTAATGCAAATTGTTTTATTTCTCTTGTATGATATTCATAAGATTGAAGTGGTTGCAATGTTCAATTCTTGCAGTTCATTGAAACCAACTCTGCCAACTTAGGTGTTATTATTATTATTATTATTTAGTTTTTTTTTTCTAATTGTTAGGCTACTCATGATGGAAATATAATAGAGATTCCTTAATTAGTTCCTAACCCGAAATTCCTAAAGCTTTGCATTTTTTTTTTGAAAATTTTAATTTATTATTAACTTTTAGTATCTATTAACTTGTTTGAAGAGGACATAATATGCCTAAATTCTTTCAAACTTACAATCTTTAAAAGTCTAATCAACTTACGTATTGTTTGAATTAATACTAAGTTGGCTCCAAAAGCTTTGCATTTGTTCGGTATGTTTCAAAATCAAACTATTAATCTAAATAAATGAGTCTTTTTCAATCCCTCCCTCAATTCTCATGTAGGATTCCTTTTGACCAATATGGCATGAAAAACATTACAATTAAGAAATTATGAGAAATAATAAAAACAAGCCCACATGATTTTGCCGATTGTGGTATTTGAAAATTTCAAGTTCGAGAAAGCATATGCGTATAATATTATTTTCAATTAGATAAATAATAAGATGTGAAAAATTTAAGATTATATTAAAAAAAAAAAGTTCCCATTATCCTCAAATGCCCATAAATCACGAAAGACAATAAAAATTTTACAAAAAAAAAAAACTTATAATGTTTGTGCTAATGATAAATGCATAAAACTCGATTTAGGTATCCTTCTTTCTTTCAAAATTATACATATTTGATAAAAGAAAACAAGAATTAACCAATGAAATTTAATAAAATATTATAATCTTGAGGAAGCAAAACGAGATCCAATCTCAGATATGGTGCACTTGTAGACCATCTTTTTTTTTTTTTTAATACTTTAATCATTTTTTATTTGCGTCTGTGCATGGATTTTCATAGAAATTTACCAACCAACAAAAGCAGTGATAAATTTCCATTTTTTTTAATGAAAGTAATGGTTTTAGTCAAATACAAACAACATGAAACAAACGATCCAAATCCAACTCTATTAAGAAAATCAACGTAAAATTATATATGCTTTCAGATCGCTTCTGTATTGCTTGTTTTGTCTGAGTCCATGGTCAAAACCCTTGCCCTGATGTTACCCAAACCAGTCAACTTGGGCGGCTCACCAGCTCCTTGCTCCAAATGCCTCATTTTTCTCATCAAAGAACAAGCACCAGAACCCAAAACAAAAACAAAAAGAAACTGATTATTGTTATGATTATTTCCCATTTAAAATTATAAAACAATGATTAAAAAAAAATTGGTTCTTTATTTTTAAAAAATGGAAAAAGATACTGTTGGCAAACGTTTCTTCCAAGTTTGGTCTCTGGTCTCGAGTGCAGGCCCTGTGTTCTTCAAGTGACATTTTCGATTACGTTTACAATTTTGTCGAGGTGTTTTTGGGTTAGTAGGATAGTAGCTTTGAGAAGAAGGTTGGTCTAATCTGTCTGTTAGAAAAGTAGTTATACATCCACCAGCTTGAGAAAAGATTATATTTATCATCGAGAAAAATTTATACAGAGAAAGTCACACATAATATCGTAATCATATCGTAATATTAAATATTATTTTTATTATAATATTATAATTTTTAATATTAAACTAATAATATCAAAGAGAAAACAATGACCAAAGACACATGGGAGTTAGAATTTCATGATGCACCACTAAATCGTATAAGGAAGAAGTGGTGAGAGGTTTAGACAGTATCTTTTTAATCTTTTTACCTGATAACTTTTATATACAAAGATATAATTGCATGATTCGAATTAAATGTAATGCATATTTATGTTTATAAATATTATTTGGATAGAACAAGTGACCTGTATGTGACATTTTTGAGTCTTATTTAGATTAGTATCTTATTAAGAGTCTTATGGGTTTAGCCTTGGGCCTTTAGGAGAATATTGGGCGTGACAATTTTTTTTTTTTTTGGTTTTTAACTCCAAAATTCATTTCTCTTTTGTTTTTAGTGTTCAAGTAACTCAATACTTCAAAAGTAAAAATTGACTGACAAAGATGAGGAAGAAGAAGATCATGTCAGGGCCAAGCTATAACATGGCGCTTCACTTTGTTTATATTCTTAATCCTGATTACAGGTATGTTATAATCTCTTTATCAGCTTATGATTCTTCATTGAAGATTCTTTTCAGTTTTGGTCTGGTTTAATCAGATTCTGTAAGTTTTAGTTCCAACATGAATATAATTACAGTAATTCTGTTTATAAGAGTATCATTTCTTGGTTATATTCAGATATTTATTGGTTTTTAAAGAGTTTGAAAACTTGCTGTTGATATTGAGTTTTCTTATGCATGCATGAAAATCTTTCACGGGTCAGCTTTTTTTTTTTTTTTTTGAAGTTCCGTTGATGAATTGATTTTGTGTTTTTCAAGGATGATTCTGTTGACTCATTGCAAACTTGTTTTTTAGCTGTCCTGTTTTGATACATGTTTGAGTTGTTCAAACAAGATTCTGTCTTTGCTTAGTTTTCAAATTTCTGGTATTTACAGGAACTGTTGTCACCGGAGAGTCTTTAGACACAGACAAAGAAGTTCTGCTGAATCTGAAATCATTCCTGGAAGAACAGAATCCCATAAATCGAGGAAGATACTCAGAATGGAATGCTGACAACTCGATTCCATGTCAATGGCATGGAATCTCTTGTTCTCCTGATGGACAAAGAGTCATTGGTATAGACCTCTCTGACAACTATATTTCTGGGGAAATGTTCTATAACTTCTCAGCCTTAACCGAACTTCGTGAACTTGATCTCTCAAGAAACACCATAGGTGGAGCTATATCTGACGATTTGAACCGATGCAGTAGCCTTGTATACCTCAACCTGTCACATAACCTCCTAAATGGAAAGCTGCAATTGACAGGGTTGAATAGTTTAGAGAAGCTTGATTTGTCCATGAATAGGATTGAAGGGGATATTGAAGTCAGTTTTCCAGCAATTTGCAAAAGGCTGATTGTTGCAAACCTTTCAGCTAACAATTTCACCGGTAGGATAGATAATTGCTTTGATGCATGCTGGAATCTGCAGTATCTGGACTTGAGCTCCAACAATTTTGTTGGCAGTATATGGAGTGGATTTGCAAGGCTTGTGGAGTATTCAGTTTCTGAAAACTTAGTTTTTGGGCCACTCTCAAGATCAATGTTTACAAATAATTGTAGTTTACAGGTGTTGGACCTTTCTGAAAACAATTTTCAAGGTGAACTTCCAGGGGAGATTTCAAATTGCAAGAATTTGGCTATCTTGAATATATGGGGAAACAATTTTACTGGGCCAATTCCATCAGAGATGGGGATGATTTCCACTCTTGAAGGCTTGTTCTTGGGGAACAACAGTTTTTCTAGTGTGATTCCAGAATCCCTGCTGAACCTGGCAAATTTGGCCTTTTTGGATTTAAGCAGGAACAATTTTGGTGGAGAGATACAAGAGATTTTTGGGAGATTCACACAGGTGAAGTTTCTTGTATTACACGGAAATTCTTACACAGGAGGGATTATTTCTTCTGGTATTCTCAAGCTACCAAAGATTTCTCGCTTAGACCTGAGTTACAACAATTTCTCTGGTCCATTGCCTGTTGAAATCTCTCAAATACAAAGTTTGAATTTCTTGATGCTGGCCCACAATCAATTTACAGGTGGTATACCACCGGAGTATGGAAACTTGCCGCAGTTACAAGCTCTTGATCTCTCCTTCAACAACCTCTCTGGATCAATCCCGCCAGCCCTTGGAAAATTGAGCTCTCTCTTATGGTTGATGCTTGCAAACAACTCTCTTAGCGGTGAAATTCCACCTGAGATTGGAAACTGCAGTAGCTTATTATGGCTAAACCTTGCTAACAATCAACTTTCTGAAAGAATCCCTCCTGAGTTGACTAGGATAGGGAGAAATGCTACTCCAACTTTTGAATCAAATCGGCTACACAATGACAGGATAATTCCTGGTTCTGGTGAGTGCTTGGCAATGAAGAGGTGGATACCAGCAGACTACCCACCTTTCAGTTTTGTGTATAAAATTCTCACAAGGAAGAGTTGCAGAAGCTTATGGGATCAGTTGATTAAAGGATATGGCATTTTCCCAAAGTGCACTGCAGGTTCAATGGTAAGCACATTCCAAATCTCAGGTTATCTTCAGGTAAGCGGGAATCAGTTTTCGGGCGAGATCCCTTCAGATATTGGTATGATGCAGAATTTCAGTATGCTTCACTTGGGTTTCAATGACTTCAATGGCAGACTGCCTTCACAGATTGGACAGCTGCCACTTGTAGTCCTCAATATCACCCAAAACAAATTTTCAGGAGAAATTCCATCAGAAATTGGGAATATCAAATGCTTAGAGAATCTAGATTTGTCATATAATAATTTTTCTGGCATATTTCCAACAAGCTTCAACAACCTGACTGGACTGAGCAAGTTCAACGTTTCATACAATCCGCTCATTTCTGGTGTAATTCCAACAACTGGCCAATTGGCTACGTTCGAGAAAGAGTCCTACCTGGGAGATCCACTACTGGATGTTCCAGATTTCATTGAAAATAGAACAGATCAACTGCCAACCTATAATGGAAGGCAGCAAAAACCTACTAAGTTGGCTATGGTTTTGGTTTTACTAGCTCTGACACTGGCCTTTTTAGTTTTCGGGGTTCTATCGGTTCTTGTTTGCATATTGGTGAAAACTCCGGCAGAACCGCAGGGATATCTCTTACAGGATGCAAAGTATCGACATGATCTGGCATCTAGCTCCGGCGGGTCATCACCATGGTTATCAGATACCGTCAAGGTCATCCGTTTGGACAAAACAGCTTTCACACACGCTGACATTTTGAAGGCTACAGGTAATTTTTCCGAGGACAGGATTCTTGGAAAGGGAGGATTTGGAACAGTGTACGGAGGTGTATTGCCTGATGGGAGAGAAGTAGCAGTCAAAAAGCTACAAAGACAAGGAATTGAGGGTGAAAGGGAGTTCCGGGCTGAGATGGAAGTTCTTAGTGGAAATGGCTTTGGTTGGCCGCACCCCAACCTTGTAACACTTTATGGTTGGAGCCTTGATGGCTCAGAGAAAATATTGGTTTATGAATACATGGGAGGAGGGAGCCTGGAGGATCTTATATCAGATAGACTGCGGTTAACATGGCGAAGAAGGATCGACGTGGCAGTCGATATTGCAAGAGCATTAGTGTTTCTACATCATGAATGCTACCCTGCCATTGTGCACAGGGATGTTAAAGCTAGCAATGTCCTGCTAGATAAAGATGGGAGGGCAAAAGTCACAGATTTTGGTCTTGCTAGAGTTGTTGATATTGGAGATAGCCATGTGAGCACAATGGTGGCAGGAACCATTGGTTATGTAGCACCAGAATATTGGCAGACTTGGCAAGCTACTACAAAAGGCGATGTGTACAGTTATGGGGTATTAGCAATGGAACTGGCAACAGGAAGGCGAGCTGTGGATGGAGGGGAAGAATGCCTGGTGGAATGGGCCAGGCGTATCATGGGGAATGGACGAAATGGGTTAGGTCGAGCTGTAATACCAGTTGCGCTTTTGGGATCAGGTCTAGCTGAGGGGGCAGAGGCCATGTGTGAACTACTTCGGATTGGGGTCAGATGCACAGCAGAAGCTCCACAAGCTAGACCAAACATGAAAGAGGTGCTAGCTATGCTAATTAGAATAACAAGCAGTGAAGCAGATTTCAATTAGTGCATCTCATGATAGCTGGTTCAATAACTCAGGTGTCCATACGGTTAGGATGTGATATAGTTCACAATATACAGGTTTAACACAAATTTTCCTGTCATGATTCTTCTTGTAAAGACACTTCCCCATCCATTATGTTGAAAGAATTTGATCAATTTTCTATATAACGTCTAGCAGTCTGACTCAGAAACCATATTTGGGATCAATTTAAGATCTCTAGGAATCATGACAGTGCTAAATCTTCTAATCAAAGTGGAAATGAGTGTTCATTTTTCAACCAACTTAAGTCCATAGCAATGGTCACCATATATACCTAAAGAAAGATCTTGTAACTCGTGTACCCATGTCACGTTTGTTTTTTATTATACACATATAAAACACAAAAATTATCTTTCAATACGTTTATCCGTGATATGTTTATCTCTCCTTAAATACGAGTATAATACAAAAATTATTATGTTACAATTCGTGTTGACATACTAAATATAAAACACATTTTTTTGTTTTTGTCAAATTCATATATGATTTTTATTAATTTTAAACCACATTATTTTCTTTTTTTTTTATTGTTTTGTATGAGTCTAAAATTATTAGATCCATCTATATATGTGCTTAATTACTTTTTAGCTTCAGCTTCATATTGAAGTTTTGGCTGTAAGTCACCAAGTTTTGCAGCTCGCAGTTAAAAGAACTTCAAAAAATGTAGTAGTTTCTTCTTTGTGAAAGCATAGACAGCCAAAAAGGAAAAATGAAAGAAATTCTCATGGGATAAAAGTGGCCTTTTGCAGCATCGATGATAAGGGACCTAAGGCTTGGCCCATCCAAGAATGCTTGCAGCCATTACTTGATTTTTTCATGGTGTTCATGCATTTTTTGTCCCTTCAATCTCCACCTGGTTTGACTTGGAGCATTTTTTTAGAATAAATGTCATATCTTTTGCTTTCTCAAAGTGCAAAAATTATGAATCTGAACCATCCAATGACCATGTGTAAGTTGTAACGAAATATTACCTAACTAATGTTGGTGGTTCGATGGCAAAGAGTAGTGGTTTAAATTGAATCAGAAGGTTATAAACTGCATGAACAGGCATGGTGAGCAAACTAAATTGGACTATTGAGAGCCACGTGAGAAGGCCAGCCAATGTGCCAGCTAACTGGGTGGCAGGTCACAAAAACAAAAACTTGTCCCTCCGGAATTGGCTGCTCTCTCCTTCGCCTAAGCTTTATTAATTGATGTGTAGATGTATAATCTTTTAGATGATACGGTAATTCGATAAAAAAAATTATAATTTAAAATTTTAATAAATATATATTTTATATTTATTTTGTTAATAAAAATTATAATATAATAATTTTTATATTTTATATAAATTAGATATAAAATAATCAGACACGAACATACGAATAGTTTAATTTAACTTTTTTCTGCCATAAGTTTGTATAAGCCTTGAACCCAAAAGAAAATACCATAATTGATTAAAGTAATCAAAATTATAACTCTCCTGAAAGTTCATCGCTGCTTGGACATCTTTGTCAAGAACAGTACCAGAGTTTAATGGGCTAAAAGCAATTATTTGGGAGATGAGATGGCTAAATTCTTATCCCATCCACCCAAGCCTGCCCAATTAACGAGGCCCTTGTTACCGTTGTCCATTGAATTAACGGATGCATGCAGCCATTACTTTATTTTTTCATGGTGTACATGCATTTTTTGTCCCTTCAATCTCCATCTGGTTAGAATTGGTGTATTTTTTTTTAGAATAAATGTCATATCTTTTGCTTTCTCAAAGTGCCAAAATTATGAATCTGAACCATCTAATGACCATGTGTGAGTTGTAACGAAATGCTACCTAACTAATCTTGGTGCTTCGATGGCAACGAGTAGTGGTTTAAATTGAATCAGAAGGTTATAAACTCATGACCAGGCATGATGAGCAAACTAAATTGGACTATTGAGAGCCACGTGAGAAGGCCAGCCAATGTGCCAGCTAATTGGGTGGCAGGTCACAAAAACAAAAACTTGTCCCTCCGGAATTGGCTGCCCTCTCCTTCGCCCAAGCTTTATTAACTGATGTATAGATATGATCATCTTTGAGTCACGATAATACGGTAAGAAAAAAAATTACAAAAGCAATATAATTAAAATTTTAATAAATATATATTTTATATTTATTAAAAAATTATGATATAATAATTTTTATGTTTTATATAAATTAGATATAAAATAATCAGATACAAACATACGAATAGTTTAATTTAACTTTTTTCTGTCATAAGTTTGTATAAGCCTCTCTCTTTAACCCAACAGAAAATACCATAATTGATTAAAGTTCATTGCTGCCTGGACATCTTTGTCAAGAACAGTAACAGAGTTTAATGGGCTAAAAGCAAATATTTGGGAGATGAGAAGGCTAAATTCTTATCCCACCCACCCAAGCCTGTCTAAAAAACGAGGCCCTTGTCACCTTTGTCCATCGAATTGACAAGAACACCCCTAATAATCAGTCAAACTAACCAATGTAACCTCAAATCTTACCGTGAAATTGCTTCTCTTTGGACAACTTGTTTCTTGTTGATTAATTCCCAACTTCCAGCCGGTTAACCATTTCCTTTTGTTTTTTCATTTCCTGATTATCATTGATTGTGGGTTAAAAGAGCTGCGCTGAACTTCGTTTCTGTTATCTTTGATGGAATGCCTTTGTTCTATTTTATATTTTTTATGTGACTAACTCTTTGGCTTTTGCTAAGGGTTTTTTTTTTTCACCCTTATCCTCCGTTAATGTTGTTGAAAATATCAATAGCAAATAACCCAAGTTTTGGCTTAGTGCTAGTAAGCCAAATGTTCTGTGCAACTTAGAGCTATGTTAATGCTTTTAAGTAGTGTTACATTGTAACCACTTTAATGGGTATTCAAGCTGTTGGTTGGTACAGTCAATGAAGAACTTACTAGTGAAATATATTGCATTAGGATAGAGGAAAAATGGATAGAGATATGAGAGAGGAGATCATGCCAATGGAGCTTGCAATCCAAAGAGAATTGGCTTATTGCCAGAAGATTGCCATTTTGAATAATCAATCTGCTAATGACTTTGGCTTACAACTCATGCCTTTCCAGGTATGGGATTTGTCTACTTTTTTACATGACTTCTTTACATATGTTAGTGAAGTGATTATGAAAAAATCTTGAGATTGCTAAAGTTTTGTATTTTCAACAGTTTGATATTGTGAAATTCCACTGGAGATAGAATTTTAGATATTGCTGGTGTTTAGGATAAGAAAGTACTTGTTATAAGTTGTCAGGGAATAGAACCAATTCATGAAATGATTGCAGAGAAGAATCACAATTTGGGTTGGGATGACGATTTGATCAAGATTTGAAGATTACTTTATACAAGGGAAACAATTCATATTTCAGAGCATAACAGTCATTCTGCAAACCATCCATGCTGAGGGTCGCCTATGCGCCAATGTAAATCATTTTTGTTTTTTTTTTTTTGCTCTTTTGATTCCTAAACATGTGAAGTCTTTAATCTGTGCACTCGTTTGAAACCTTCATGCTTGTGATAGACATTTCTCTTGTATATCCAATATTAGGTGGTGCTTAGAAGTCAGAATGTCATATCTTTATTTAGGATAAGAGTGTAGTACCAGTCCCAAATTCTAGAGTATGACCTTAGATATGAATAATTCCTATGCTTGAAATGATTGATTTCTCATATCTGTTTCTCTCCGTAAAGTATGATTTAATGTAAATATCCAGAGTAAACTTAACCATATATACGAAATAAGAACCTGACTTCCTTAAACTGGAATGAAGTTGAAAAACTTACATAAAGTTAGAGCTATTTTAATTCTTTATGTGTTGTTACATTGTAACCACTTTAATGGGTATTCAAGCTTGGTTGGTGCAGTCAATGAAGAACTTACTAGTGAAATATATTGCATTAGGATAGAGGAAAATTGGATGAAGATGGGAGAGAGGAGATCATGCCAGTGGAGCTTGCAATCCAAAGAGAGTTGGCTTATCGCTAGAAGATTACCATGTTGAATACTCCATTTGCTAACGACTTTGGCTTACAAATCATGCCCTTTCAGGTATGAAATCTGTCTACCTTTTTATATGACTTCAGTACATAAGTTGTTACAGTGACTATAAAATAATCTCAAGATTGCTAAAGTTTTGTATTTTCAATAGTTTGATATTGTAAAATTCCAATGGGGATAGAATTTTAGATAGTGGGAGTTTAGGATAAGAAAGTACATTGCTTTATGTTCTCAGGGAATAGAACCAAGTCATGAAATGATTGCAGAGAAGAATCTCAATTTGGGTTGGGATGAAAATTTGATTAAGATTTGAAGATTACTTTATCCAAGGGAAAAAATTCATATTTCAGAGCATCACAGTTACTTTGCGAACCATCCTTGCTAGGGGTCAGCTATGTGCCAATGTAAATCTAGTTTTTTTTGTTCTTTTGACTCCTAAACATGTGAAGTCTTTACTCTATGCACCTGTTTGAAACTGACTATTTTACGATTCAAAACAGCATGTGCTATAGATGTGTCAGTTTCGACAACGATATGCTCACATTCATGCTTGTGATAGACATCTATCTTGTATATCCAATATTAGGTGATACTCAGAAGGTCATATCTTTATTTAGGATAAGAATATAGTAACAGTCCTGAATTCTAGAATATGACATCAGATATGAATAATGCCTATGCTTGAAATAATTGATATCTCATATCTTTTTCCCTCTGTAAAGTTCGATTATTTGTAATTGGCTAAAGAAAAGTATGATTATATAAAGAAAAATATGATTATATGTACATATCCAGAGTGAAATTAACTATACAGATAACATAAGAACCTGACTTCCTTAAACTGGAAGGAAGGTGAAAACTTACATAAAGTTACTTTAATGGGTATTCGAGCTTTTGGTTGGTGCAGTGAATGAAGAACTTACAAGTGAGATATATTGCATTAGGATAGAAGAAAAATGGATGAAGATAGGAGAGAGGAGATCATGCCGGTGAAGCTTGCAATCCAAAGAGAATTGGCTTATCGCCAGAAGATTGCCATGTTGAATAATCAATCTGCTAATGGCTCTGGCTTACAACTCATGCCTTTTCAGTTATGAAATCCATCTACTTTTTTACATTACTTCTGTACATATGTTAGCGTGGTGACTAGCGTGGTGACTAAAAAACAATCTCCAGATTGCTAAAGTTTTGTATTTTCAACAGTTTGGTATTGTGAAATTCCAATGGATAGAATTTTAGATATTGCTGGCGTTAGGATAAGAAAGTACATTGTCTTAAGTTCTCAGGGAATAGAACCAATTCATAAAATGATTGCAGAGAAGAATCTCAATTTGGGTTGGGATGAAAATTCGATTAAGATTTTAAGATTACTTTATACAAGGGAAAAAATTCATATTTCAGAGCATCACAGTTACTTTGCGAACCATCCTTGCTAGGGGTCGGCTATGTGCCAATGTAAATCATTTTTTTTTTTTGTTCTTTTGACTCCTAAACATGCAAAGTCTTTAATCTATGCACCTGTTTGAAACCGACTATTTTACAATTCAAAACAGCACATGCTCTAGGTGTTTCAGTTTCAACAATGATTTGGTCACCTTCATGCTTGTGATAGACATCTCTCTTGTATATCCAATATTAGGTGGTGCTCAGAAGGTCATATCTTTATTTAGGATAAGAATGTAGTAACAGTCCTGAACACTAGAATATGGCATCAGAAATGAATAATTCCTCTGCTTGAAATGATTGATTTCTCATATCTTTCCATAGTATTTCAAGCATAGAGCCCCTATGATATGCTTTTAACCTTCTTATGTATAGTTTAGCTATATCTCATGCAAAGGTGGTTATCATTTTTAAATGCTATATTTTTTTATATTGCCGCTAAAATTAGAAGAGTTTGATCTTCCCCTGCCTCCAATGGTTCTGCTACTAGTGGCTTATGTTTATTGAGGTTTTTGTGAACTGATGTGGGACATTATTGTAGAACTTATTTCTATTTTAGCTTATTGCTATCAGTTTTTGCTTGTGGCCGGTACATTCGGGTCTTGGTGTATCTCCCAGTTCAACATTGTATTCAAGTCTGGATAGTCATGTGGCTAAGAAGAATCAGGAAGACACCTTTTTCTGCAAGGTTTGCCGGGTTTCCAGCTCTAGCGCCATAAGTTACAAGCAACATTTAAGAGGTCATAAGCACAAGGCCAACCTGCGCATAATGCCATTCAAAGGGAAATAATGATTCAGGCATCACAGCAGTGAACCCACGGAAAAGATGTGGACCGTGTGACATTTTGGTGTACGGATGAATTGTCATTTAACCAGCACTTGGAAGGTCAAAAGCATAAGCAAAAACTACAGAACTTGGTAGTTGCTGGTAATAATGCAAGAAACATGGTAAAGAAGCAAAGGTTTTGGTGAGTTGTGTGATGGATATTCTGTGCACAGATTATTGATCATTTAAGATGCACCTTCAAGGAAAATAACATTTTATTAAACTTCATGCCATTGACAATGGAAAAAAACCATGAGGGTTGAACTTGTATTGGAGAAAAGTTTAAGATATTCTCCTTTAAGCACTTCCTCTATTCCAAGTTTAATTTCCATACTGTATATATTATACTAGTCCTGGGAAAAATACGAGATACTTGTAAAATTTTGCAGCATTGGATTGATTCAATCAAATAAAAAATAACTGGTTGCCTTTGAACATAGTATATAATGATTAGTAACTTGTAAATATATAATAATTATATCAGTTGAGATCAGTGAATTCTTAAATAATTTAATTTAATTATAGATTAAAATTTAAAATTATCACTTCTTAAAATAATGATACAAATTAATTAAATTAAGTTTCAGGTTCATATTTATTTATTTTTTGTATTAGTTATCCATTGTGTTAAATTTAAAATCAGATGCAAAAAGAAAAGGGAAAAATACAAAGATTGAAAAATGAAATTAATCAAACAAATCTAACTTCACTATACCATATACCATAGCCCACAACTCTCGTTTCCATCTATAAGCCTACCCTCCTCCCCTCCCAAACCCTAATTTTCCCTATAACACCAATCCCCATACAAAACCCTAACTTTAGCCGTCCCACTTTCCTTCTGTCGTCGTTCATCTCTCTCACTCTCTGGATCCCTCGTAAACAAAAGAAAAATGGCAGAAAGAGGCGGAGGAGAACGTGGCGCTTTCAGGCGTGGCTTTGGCCGCGGTGGTGGCAGATCCGATCGTGGCCCAAGAGGCAGGCGCCGTGGCCGCAAGGACGAAGAGGAGAAATGGGTACCCGTGACAAAGCTTGGCCGTTTAGTCAAATCCGGCAAGATCACATCCCTCGAACAAATCTACCTCCACTCGCTCCCCATCAAAGAGTACCAAATCGTCGACCAACTCGTTGGCCCTTCCCTGAAAGACGAAGTCATGAAGATCACTCCAGTTCAGAAACAAACACGTGCCGGCCAGCGCACGCGTTTCAAGGCCTTCGTCGTTGTTGGTGATGGAAACGGACACGTTGGTTTGGGGGTGAAGTGTAGCAAAGAAGTTGCGACGGCTATAAGAGGGGCGATAATACTGGCGAAGCTGTCAGTGATACCGGTGAGGAGAGGTTACTGGGGAAATAAGATCGGGAAGCCTCATACGGTGCCGTGTAAGGTAACTGGGAAATGTGGGTCCGTTACGGTTAGGATGGTGCCTGCTCCGAGAGGTGCGGGGATTGTGGCCGCTAGGGTCCCCAAGAAGGTCCTTCAGTTTGCTGGGATTGAAGATGTTTTTACTTCTTCCAGGGGTTCTACTAAGACTCTTGGTAACTTTGTCAAGGTATTGAGTTTTTCTATGTAGAATTTTTATTTGTTCGGTTTTGTTGTTATTTAAGATTGTTTATGGATTTATTTAGATCTATTTGGAAATGGGTTGTTAAATGTTTTAGTTCCTTTTACTATACCTGATCATTCCTGTATCCGTTTCTGTCTATGACATGTTTAACGTGTAAAAGACAAAAATTGCCAGTTTCACAGTGTCACAATGCCAAACTCTTACTGTTTTGTGTCTTTTTTTTGTCGTGTTTAAAATTGTCGGATCTACTTGTTCTTCAACTTTGGGATTGTTGGTTACTTTTAGTTTCTTTGATACTATGAGTAATTATGGTATGCTTGATTTGTTTGGATTATATGAGTGATCTGACTTATTTACATGTTGTAATGTGTATGTTACTGAACCAATTGGATAGAAATTGCAATTCAGGTTAGGTGGTCACTTATGCATTGTGTTTCTCTGCATGTTTTGGAAATAAGTTATTGATGATTTTATCATGATATTGGGTTTATGCTGCTTTATTGAAGCATATTTATATTCTTGATAAACATGGTATAACTGTGGTACTATTGGCTGCGGTTCTGATGGAGTTGTTGAACATATGATTCTGTTTTCAGCTTGGGTTTTGTCAGATGAATTTTTTAGTGTAGTAAACTGATTTAGTAGGTAAAATGGTCTTAGCATGATTTAATTCTTCAGGTGGTATACAATTCTAGGAAATACTTGGCTCTTAGTTGTGCAAAATAATATAGTTATGATTTATAGACAGTGGAATGTATGAGTTCGCCGTGGACAGAACTAATGCTCTGTTATGGATTTTGGTTTTTTATTTTGCATCCTTGACAACTATGACAGCCAAATATTTCCAACCGAGCTTGTAACCTTAGGATGTTTGACAGTTTGGTAATTATGCTTCTCTTATATTTGTTTAGTATTGTTGGCTTGGTCTAAACTGTGTAATATGTTTGTTAAACTCCCATATACATGTGCTTGTAGATTTTCTACTCATGTGTTGACAAACCAACTAGTTATTGCTGCATACCAATGCCATATATTATCTATTCTTGATTATTGGAAAATTAGTTTGCTTTCATGGTTGATAGCTGTTTATTTGCTGCATGATTATTTAGAGATGCGTATTCAGTTGTTGGTGATATCTGATTATCCATTGCTCTTGCAAATGTAATTGCAGGCCACGTTTGAGTGTCTTCTGAAAACTTACGGTTTCTTGACTCCTGATTTCTGGAGAGAGACTCGTTTCACAAGGTCTCCTTTCCAGGAGTATACCGATCTGTTGGGAAAGCCAGTGAAGTCCCTAGTACTCGAAGATGTGGAGAGAGTGGATGTATGATGTATGATGGAAATTTAGGAGTCATTGGTAACATGGGCTTCAATGCCTTGGTTAGTAATATGCAGTTCCTTTTGTGTTGTTAACAGGATCCTATTTTCACATTTTTGCTTGTTTGGTTCTGTGATGAGATTTTCAGTAATTAATTGTTCAGCAACTGCAGTTTTTTTTTTCTCTATTTGGATTCTTTATAAGATTGTGGTTTACATGAGTTTTAAGTATGATGGACTGTATTACAGTCAAGATATTATCCAAATCGGATCATTAGATCTTACGAGTTTATTTTATAAAAATTTTTTAAGTACAAATTAAAAATTAAAAAATTATTTTGATGTAAATTAAAAATTAAAAATTTACTTAAATACAATAAAAATATAAAATTTATCTATATAAAAGGATAAAATTCAAAAAGTTTTTTTTAGTTATTTTAACTAAAAAAAAAAACTCTAATGATAATCGTGATTTGGGTCATGTTCAGGTAATTCCATCGAGTGTAGATATTTACTTTAATAAAATGATTTAGACTAAATTGACATCCCAACAATCTTAAGTATTGGATTCCCTGTCCTATCTAACCTTACAATTATTTATTAATTTTAGCGTCTAAGTATGCTTTTAAATTTTAATTTCGATGCCTTTTTATATTTTTATTTACCGAATCGAACACATATTTTTAATTACTCATGAATTTTATCGCATTAATCCAAAAATATAGCAACAAGAATTTTTAATACTTTTTCATAATAACTTGTTTATAATTAGAAGAGATAATGTCTTAGATTATATCGAATTTAATTCAAAATTTTAAATAATATATAATATTATAAATTTTTAAAATTTAATTTAAATTTAAATTAAATTTTTTTTGAAATCGATTCGATAAAAATTAAATTTTTACTTATTTGATTTGATTCATTGATTTTAAAATTTTTATTTTTTATATATTATTTTAATAAAAATTTTAATATATTAAATAGATTTATATATAAAATAATTATTTTTATTTTATAAAAATTTAATATATATATATAAAAAACTAATAAAAATATGTAATTTGGTTTGATTTGATTTTTTTTAGCTTTTTACATCTTGACCTAAAATTTGATCAAAATTTAATATATATATATTTAATATTAAAAATTAATTTAAATTAAATAAAAAAATCAATTCGAATTAAATTAAACATTATAATTTTCAAATTGATTTTCATTTTCTTAATTTTTTTCTTATTTCTTTTTATAATTGGCCACCCTCCATTAAAACCTCTGAATTTTCATTTTATTTTAAAATTTTTTCTTTCCAAATTTGTACTAATATTTTTATTTAAAAAATTTTTTGATCAATTTTTAGTTGGAAAACCCATGCAATTATTGAACTAAATGTTCGAAAAAAATACAAAAAAAATTTTTAAACATAATTAATGAGGGCAAAAATTTTACTACTAATAATTTTGAACTTATTGTGGCATAATTCAAAAAGGGCGATGTTCTTTGGTGTAATAAAAAGCAATGTTAGGGCTATTTTGGACTTAAAAAAAATATAAAAATTTCACATAATCTGCATGCTTGTTACTTTAAAAATGATAGAAGGGCCCACTGCAGACCAATGTTATAATACTTTTTAATCAACAAATTATTAATAATAAAAAATTAATTAATAAAATATTAAAATATTGATTAAAATATTCAAAATTTGGAAAATCAAGGTCGTTTAAAAGATTGGTTGTCTCATGTGTTGTTTGTTGTCTTTTCCCTTTATTTTATTCTTTCTTCAAATCTAAGAAAAGCAAAACCATTCTCTCCAAAATCAAAAAGAAAAAAAAATGAAAATTTAAATGTGATTTTCAATAAAATTGATATTTAAATATTATAAATTAAAAAAATTATATATATAATATTTTTTTAATTTAATAAATAATAAAATAAAATGTTAATTATATAAATAATAAGGTAAGAAAAATTTAAAGATAGATTGAGAATTAAAAATAATATATAAAAAATTTAAAACATTAAGTAAAAACAATATAATTTAAAATTTTAATGAAATTTTTATATATTATGTATATTTAATTTAAAATAAATATAATATAAATATATAAATTATCAAATATATTTAAATTCAGGATAATTTTTTTCGAACTTACAAAAAAGGAAAATCCAAAAAAGGTAATAAAATGAGATACGAAAGAGAAGAGAAAAAGGAAAAGAAATTATATTTTTAATTTTTTTCGACAACTTTCATGTCAGTGACTCGCTTCTCATATAAGTTTTTCTTTTTTTTTCTTTGGTTTATTTCTGTGTGATTTTTCTTTTTCTTTTTCTTTTTCTTAGCCTTTTCTCTCTCAAAATCTTCCTAGAAAAAATGGACCCATAAGATAAATTATCACCATTTTTATCTACTTTTCAATGAAGTTTCAGAAAAACCCATTTCAATTTTTTTCTGCTTCTCTTTTAAGAGACTCTTCTTCTGATCTTCTCTGTTTCTGATGCATTTTTGAAGCCTTTTTTCAAAGGATACCCACGTTTCAGTTTTTCTTCGACTTCGCAAAAAACTAAGTCAATGAGCTCAGAAAAGTTGCTTTTGGTTTTTTAAGGTAAGATTAAAAGATCACTCTTTTAATGGCTTTGATGGGTTCTTTCTTCATCTGTTCTTTTTGGAGTTTTAATAAAATTTTAGCTGCTTATATTTTATAGTATTTTTAAAGCGTAGACAGTGAAGATTTTCAGTGGTTTCTGATTTAATTTTGGTTCTTCTTTTAGGCTTTAAATTTTATTATTTTGATTCGGTTTTTATTTAATTACAAAAACAATGTAATAAGCTTTTATTTAACTATATATATTTATTTTCTCCTGAATTTTGGGATTAATGAATGAAGGGTATCTGATGATGTCCCCTCCTTTTCTTTTCTTTTTTTTTTTTTAAATCTGGGATGGAATTCATTAGTTTAATTTTTAGTGGTTTTAGTGATAAGGGGCAGAATTTTTTTTTTTGTTTTATTTTCTGTGAAAATAAATCTCAGTTTATCATTTTCTAATTTTATTGATTTTTATCATAGATCTTTTGACTAATTTACAACTTATTTAAAGCTTAATATAATTATTAGTATGAAACCTGATAATTGTTTAACTCATAAATTTGAGTTTGTAGTTTCTTGTAGTATTAGATGGTGTTTCACTGTTTTAGGAGGATTTTATACAGTTATATGCCTTATTTCTCCTGGAGCTGTAACATATACTTTTTGTGTTATTAGTAACAGTAAGTTAGTATAGTTTGAGAATATTATGGAATTGTAGAATAATGGTTTTGGTGAATAATGCAGATTAAATTTGTTTTAGAGGAGTAATTTTGTTGTCCAAATTAACTGGAAGATCTCGTGTAAAGTTTAGAGGAGCAATTTTTTTCTGAATTTTTTTTTTCTGTCGGCTTCTAAATCTACTTAGAACATCTCAAATACAGACACAGTTTGACGGTACATTACGTGAGAATGTTTTGTTGGTTCATGATGAATGCCACCTTGGGGTTGATTAAATTGGTTAGGCCTCTTTCACTTGTAATTATAACTTCTGGTGTGCAGGGGGTTTTGTTCTGATGAGAGGGTGAGGTTGGAAGTTGGAACTTACTTTGATACTATTGGTTTCATTTGTGCTTTCAAGTTTCTTTGGTTATCACATTTTGAAAGTGTTTTGAACTGTGGTGCATTTGTTCTTGTAAGAGACTTACAGTATGACATTTGATAGTGTTTTGCACTGTCATTATCGATAGTATTCTAATGTTGTTGTGGCATGGTGCATTCATGAATGTGGTGTTAGACTGATAAATTTTGGAAAACTTTTATTCAGAAATAGTATCGTGGTTTTTGTACATGCCCATTTGATTGTTTTGAACTACATTGTATTGCAATTGGTTTTGCGAGTAATTCTTGATGGAAATTATTGTCAGAATATATTTGAGTTTTTAAAATACAACCAAATAAGAGGATAAGCAAAGGTTCTGATAAGGTTTTCTTATGGCTTTCAATTCTAAACGTTTTAACAGAACACAGATATTATCTGAGCCACCATGGAAGAATGTTGGACATTTTTTGATTAATATCAGTTAATATATATTAAATATTTTTGTTAAGCTCTAGTAGTTGATGTGTTTCTTGTTAAAGGGAGAGACATAAAAAAAAAAAGATAAAGTAGGCCTTGTAATATGTACTTTAAACAAAATTTCTTTGCCTTTATGCAGGTTGCTTTTGTCATGGTATGGAGATCGTCGGTTTAAATTTATTGTATTATCAATTGAAATTCGTGCTCCAACTTTTATGGCAACGTTAGGAATGCAAGCAGGCATGCAGCTCAAAAGCCAATCCCCAGGATGTTACACTTCTTGGGACCTTAATTTGGGTGCTAATGGCGCTGTATGGCCCACAGATGATGTTGATAGAATCTCAAGGAATAGACAATACTATAATGGTACTTTGCCATCGTCTTCAGATTTGAATATGTTTTACAACAAGGATCTACTAGCGCAGACAATGCTCAAGCATGAAGCAGAATTTAGGGATCAGGTATTTCTCTCAAGATAAACTTCTTATGTCTTGTGAACCCGGTATTCTGACAGAATGAGTAAAATACTGTTCTATGTGCTTAAATACAGTGTTCTGTCTCCTAAGCAACAACTTAAGTTACAGCATAAACTGTTGGTAATTAGTTGAAGTTCTTAATACCTATGGAGAGTTCAACATCTTTAGATTGATCATTTAATTGTCATTTGAAAGGGGGAAAAAAAGATAGAAGTTTCAACTGGGATGAGAGAAATGTTATGTGGAAATCTGAATTAGTAGGTTTTGGGATCTGAAGATTTATGATGAACTGGGCAAAGTAGGCAAACACCCACTAGGGCTTATCGTACAATGTATGCAGAGATAATATGAGGATGAAGGGACCTCTTCACCAGGGGGTTGTTTCCACTGTGCATTTTGCATAGACATAACTGTAGTGTTTCAGTTCTAATTCTGGCGACTATTAATTGTGTCTCTTAGGGTGTTTTCCACAGATGTATTTCCTAGCATTGTGTTTTTATTTTTTATTATTTTTTTTAAGGTGAGTCTCTTTGATTGATATCTATAAGAATCATCGTAGTGATCCTTCATCTGAAACCATGAAGTGGTTCAAATATAGCCTGGTTGTATTCTTTGGCCTCATTTTAAGTTATCTTGATTTGTTCTCCATTTGTCATCCCTTAAATCTAGAATTTTTGGTTCTACTAAAATTGATATTACTGATAACATATTATTATCATGCAATTAATTCATCTGCAATGTGTTTTATTTTAGATCAATGAACTCCATCGGCTTTACAGGAGACAGAAGGAATTAATGGATGAAATGAAAAAGAACGACTTATATAAACATCATCACAGTCTGGAGACCTTACAACCAAATCATTTTTTGCCTCCAGTGTCATCTAATTATGTACCAACACCACACCAAACCTCTACCTCTACCTCTACTAACCTTGTACGTTGTCAGCCCCCTATTTCAGAAGCTAAAGGTAGCATTTTGCCTTTGCATTCTTATGATGGAATTAGAGGGCAAACAGGTCTTGAACCTACTTGTATTTCAAGTTCTTCAAAGGCCTCGGAGTTCATGCAGTCCAATTGCAAAAAGTTTGGCAAAAAGATCTTGGATCTTGAACTGCCAGCTGATGAGTACTTTGATAGTGAAGAAGAGGGATTTTCTGAAGTGAAAATGGCCCCTGAAGTGACTGATATACCAACTAATGCTCTAAAGAAAATTCCTGAGGTTAGAGATAGGGGTGATAAAGAACTATCCATTTGTAGCAGTGGTTGCAACTCTGTTTTCCCTGAAGGCAATTTTATTCATAGTTCCATTTCTTTGAAGAAAAATGTTATGGCTGATTTAAATATTCCTCTCAAACTAGAGGAAGATATAATTCCTGAGTCCAGTGAATTTCAGGATCCTGTTGTTGGCCACAGGGAAACTTCATTACAGGACCCCTATGGAAAATCAAATTCAAACTTTCAAGTTCTGTCCAAAGAAGTAATTCCAAATAGCCAGATAATGAAGGATCCAGAAGCTCAATTGGAAAATTTACTCCTTAACGAGCACAAATTGCAAAGAGAATGCATATCTTGTAATGATAAAGCTGGTAAGGATGCTATATAATCTATTATCAAATTATCTGCATTTTTATGGCCAAAAAAAATTCCAGCATTTTGTTTTTTTTTTTTTAATTTATTATTTTTTGGCATTTTAGCAAGTTCATTTATCATCAGTCCCAAATCATTTGCATTGTAGAATTTTATTACTGCTAATGATGATTTTATGTGGTTGGTAACTCTGTTTTCAGGGCAAGGCAGAAATGATTTGAATTCTTTCCCTCAAGATCTCTATACTGAAAAATCATCAATTGAGCACATTAACAATGAACAAGCTCAAGATTGTGCAATATGTCATGGTTTGGACGAGACTGATGGAAAGCTATGCAATGAAAATTTACAGCATGTTGCAAGAGTTGTCTCTGCTAGTAACTATAAACCAGTTGCTACTTCAGACATGTTTAGCTCATACCAGATTGTTCCTTTGGCTGATACGATGAAGTCTGAATCATCCTCTGTTTCATCTGGTAGACATGCCTTCAAGCGGAGCCCTATAGCAGTTCAGGCACTTCCATGTTTTAAGAGAAAAAGTTCTAAATCATTTACTGTAAGCCCTGGGCTTGCTGGAAATGAGCTTTGTCTTGGCAAAAATTCGTTATCTACCTTCCTGCAGGCCAGCTCGCAGACAGATTTCCAGCTGGAGTGTCAGTCACCATCTACAAGTTCTCTTTTGCTGAACTGCAATAATGACATTAACTTTGCATTTGAGCATAGTCCTGTGAAATACACCAAGGATTTTGAGCATGTGAGGTCCATAAAGAGTTCGGATCTCAATTTTGTCTTGCCTAGTTTCTCCACTAATGTGGCTGGTTCACAAGATGCTTCTCATAGACATGGTGAAAATACACTTGAAAATTCAACTGTTTGTTATCCTAACACTGCTGAAATGGCAGTACATGATACAAAATCAGTTGAAAGGGGAGACCCATCAATCCCACTGGAATCTGCCCTTGAACAATCTAATTCCCAGTGTGTCCATGATGCTGAGTTGGAGAAGGTGGAGGCAAGCAACTCCCTGGATTTTAAGAGGATACTCGGATTTCATTTGTATAACAAGCCTCCCATTGCCAATGGCCAGTGCTCATCTCATGCCTTCCCCTCCCGAAACCATCCCAATTCTTGTGTAGAAGAAGACATCAAAGACAAAGTGAAAGATAGGATACCTGATATAAACTTGGAATTTGATCATCTGCCTGACTCAGAAAAAGATCCAGCTAAAACTAAGTCTGTCACAGAAATTGAACCTTGTGAAAAGTATCCAGGTTATGGGGTAATTGACCTGAATTCTTGCTTATCTATGGATGAGTCTCTTCTAATGCCTTCACATTCAACAGAAATAGATTTGGAGCCACCTGCAAGTCCAGAAAACAAGGAATGTTCGCCACCTAGAGGGGAATCTAATGAAAACCAGCTTGAGACACCTTTGCTATCTTCAGGACAAGAAGATGGGGATCTGCAAGAGGAGCTAGTCAGGAATGCAGTGGAGGCTATAGTTTCCATTTCTTCATCTGAGACCCAGACTTGTTTAGACAGCACCACTTGTGAACCTTTTAAAGCTTCTAATTCTCTCTATTGGTTTGCAAGGGTTGCTTCTTCTGTAGTGGATGATCCAGGGAGTGAATTTGGAGTTAACATAGGTGTTAAGGATTACGGTGATCATGAGGAGTATCTATCCGATGGAATTGATTACTTTGAGGCCATGACATTGAACCTAACAGAGATAAAGGTAGAAGAGTCTTGGTGTAAAAGCAATGGCCTAAAAGAGGAAGAATCTTTTTTGACAAACCAACCAAAGAAGGGCCGAACGAGGAGGGGAAGACAGCAGAGGAAGGACTTTCAAAGTGAAATTCTTCCAAGCCTTGCCTCTCTTTCAAGGTACGAGGTCACTGAGGATCTTCAGATGATAGGAGGGTTAATGGAAGCCGCTGGTGCTCAGTGGGAAAGTAGTTATTCAAGAGATGCAGGTAGAAATGGATACACAAAAGGGCGGCGACGGTCTAATGCACGTGCTTCCAGTGTAATGGACAGCGGGATGAACATGTTGCTGAAGCAGCAGTCTGGTGATAGTGAAGCAGGTATCCGGCAGAGAAGACTAATAGAGTGGGGGAAGATAACAAGAAGACCACGGGGGCCAAGATGTCCATCCAGTAATCCTCGGCTTATATTAAGCCAGGTATAGAAAGAGTAAGTTTAAAAACTTTTGGGGTTAGCTTAACATGTGATTATCATGTACATCTCAACTAAAATCTGGCATACCAATTACATTAAATAGGAGAATAGAAGTCCATTTTCAACTTTCAATGGCTTTTGGTCTTGGTATTGGTCTGGTGAATGATGGGATGTGAATATGCTCTTTTGAACCTAAGAGTTTGTTCTAAACTATAATTGAAAATCAACCTAATAGCAATGTGTTTTGTCCATTGAGGCCTCTAGATTTGAAATTTCCTCTCGAGCTGTGGAATGCTTTCTCAGGAGACCCTGTCAGGATGCCAATTACTTTCTGTCTAGTATGAAAAGTTTGAAATTTTGATATATATATATATATATATATATGTATGTATGTATGTATGTATGTATGTATAAAATGTTTATTTTCAACTTATTAATTGATGGTATATGAAAACATTAAAATTAATATGCTAAATTTTCATATTTTACTTTTTTATTAATACTAAATATTTATTTTGAATTGATAAATTAATATTTGTATTTGTTATTATGTAAAAACTTTACATAACTTTTCATCTTTTTTTTATTAATATTAATTTAAAAATAATTATACTTGCAAACTTACATTGAAATTACAATGATAATTTTTCATATTCTTATTTTTTATTTGAATTAATTTATTCAAAAAAAATAAAATCTTTATATTTATATTTATTTTTTGAAAACCTAAAACACTTAATCAAGGCATATTTCTTGTTCAGAATCCAATTATATATATATATATATATATTTATTTATATATTTGTTAAGAAAAACATAGAAAAAGAAATTAACTAGAAAATTGACACCATATATGTGATAATATTATGGAAATTTATAATAAACACCATTGACATGTGAGTGTTTACAGAAATACAACAAACTACACATTAAAAAAAAAAAGAATAGCCTTAGAACTTGGTTCAAAATCAAAACAAGAAAAAAAAAAGGGAAAACAAACAAATATTTCAAAATCTCTCCTCCTTCATCAGTAGTAAAATTTCTTTCCATCATCATATATATAATTTTTGAGTTTCAAATTCAATCCAAAGCAAAATAATAATAATAATAATAATAATAATCAAATAATCAAATAATAAAGGAGTCCAAAGAAAAAAAAATTTAAGATAGGGTTTGTAAATACATAGAAAAATTAAGGTTGAGGGCCAAGTTGAGTGAAATGAGGGCTTTGGAGAGCTTCTTGAAGCAGCTCATCATCATCCCATGAATCCCTATATGTCTCCAAGTTGGCAAATGAATTTACTATGGATGATATGCACAGTTGCTTCCTCCATTCTTCCAAATGTGGGGATTCACTATAATCTGCATATTTATCACAATACTGCAGACAAAAACATAATTATTATTACTTATAATATTAGCTTAAATTTTAGATTTTTAGATTTTTCTTGTTCATCACAAGGATAATAGGAAATAACAGAATTTGTTGTTCATCTATATCAAACTTGAGTTTTATATATATATATGATACGATTTTCTCAAGTGATTTTAAAAATATACTTTCCACATTAATTTGATACATTTAAGATTTTACTCTTAAAATTTTTTTTATCAAACTTAAGAGATCATATTAGACTTGTTCAAGGGTTTATTTGTCCAAATCTAAAGGTTTGTTCAAGTTTTGAGAGGTTTTGAATAAAAAATTAAAACTCGTTAAACGGATTTGAATATCATTATTAGATCCATTTAAATGTCAAGTTAAGTTTTGGACAAAAAATTTAAAACTCGAACCTAATTCGATTGTGGTATGAATTTACATATATATTATTTTTATATATATGTGAATTATTTATTAATTAATTCACATATAGATAAATTAAAAATAAAAATTATATATTTTATTAAATTTTTTTATAATTTTTATTTTTAATTTTTATATATATGTGAATTGAATATAATTTCATTAAACTTAATTTAATCATTTTAAAAAAATTTTATTATATAAATTAAGTTTAATGGATAGATTTGAGATTTATTTTTTTAATTTGAAGTAGGCTTGAAAAAATTTTAAGGCTCAAAATTTTGGATCAAATTGAATATAAATAAACATATAAATTATTAATACTAAATATGAGTTAGATTCAAATTCGATCTCACTCAACTTATGAACACCTCTACATCAAATTTAAAGTTTAAATTCTAACGCTAATAAAATTTTTTTTTATTTTCAAACTATGATTTCTTTATAATTTTTTTTAAATAGTGCAACAATTATCCTATAATTTTTTTTATATAGTTCATGTGGTAAATGTGTTTTTTTTCTAAATTAATTACCTCGAAATCAGCAAGGTCGTGAGTGTTACACTTTGGAATACCAGCAAGTTCCCTTGAGTGATAAAACTCTTTGATGGACTGCATCATGTCATCCCATGATGGCAACCTTCTTTTCCCTGAAAGCACTTGTGCTATCCATTTTGCTTGCGACTCAAAGAAAGGGAACCCTATCAGCTGCAACACCCCCACCCCCTCGTTAACAAAATAAATCAACCAACTCCAAATCAAAGAAATATATCATTCTATTAATTTCCAACCCAAGAAAGTAAAAAAAAAAAATTACAAGAATGTTATTAGCCTTAAAATCTGACAAAAAAATTAAAAAAAAAACTTTTTTTTAAATTTTAAGGAAAAAAAAAGATTTAAACCCGATTTTTTATCAATGGATTCATACAACTTCCTCTTAAACCAAATCCTTAAGTGCAAATATTTTATGTTAAAAAAAAAGTAAAGATAGGAATATAAGATTTAGTTTAGTTGATTTATACAATTATTTTTAATATTTGATATTTAATAAATTTGTAGTTCATTTATAATATCTTTTTTTATTTCTAAAATTTTTTATAAAAAAACTAAAGATGTAATTTATTATACAATATATAATTAGTAGTTTAGTAAAAAAAAAAAAATACAACTACTTTTAAGATGTAAAAGGAGGAAAAAATTTATATGAAGTTCGTAAAATTCTTTATTAGAAATAAATAAATAAAAACTAAAATAAAAAATCAAAATAATAGATTAAAAGATCTCATTATATAGATCAAGTATGAGAATTTTGAAAAGATTTTAATGAATTTTGAAATATTAATTAAATAGACATTTTTAGAAAAAATATTGACAATTTTTATCGTTAAATAAGTATTGATTAAATTTGAATTATAAATAATATTTTTAATAATTTTTTTATATATTATTGATTTTTATATTAAATTTTATCAATTTATCGATTTAAATTTTTTATTAAAATTTTTATTAAATAAAAGACCTTCATAAATTTCACATAAATAACTTTATGTAAGTTTTGTACATAAAAAAAAATCTTATCAAAATCCTATAATAATGAAAGTGAAAGTAAAAGTATGTATAGTGGAATAAGTAGAATTATAAGAGAATGTAAAGAGTGTACCTTTCTTGGAATGCCAACAAAGGAGAAGGATGGAGCAAGTGATGGAGGGAAAGTGTGCTCAAAAAGAGGTCCTACTCTATTATCATCAACAACTACTATCCCTTTGGTGTCAAGAAATGGGAATGTGTATGAATACCTACAAATGTACACCAAATATTAAATTATTTTATAAAAAATAATTTCATTTTTTTTATAAAATTCATTAATAATGATAACATTTATATACTAATAATATTTTAAATATAAACTTAAAAAAAACATTAAAGTTGTTATGATGATCATATTGATGGAAAACTTTGGTTTAATCTTGAACAAGTTGGTTGAGTAAGATTTGAGGGTATAGGATGTGACAGTAGGGTCCCATAGAAGATTCTTTTTAATTTCATAATAAGCATCCAATCAGCCTGTCTTTTGAAATGGACAATCTTATGGTTGCTTGGAGATGAATAAAATAAGGTCAATTGGAAAGCCTTAAAGTCATTTTGTCTGCTTCATTATTGGTCAGTTGGTACACAAAAGCTTTTTATCCAAAAAAAATCTTTTTTTTTTTTTTTATTTTTGACCATTGATTTTGCTTTTGTAAACTTTGATTAGTTTTACTTGGTACATTACCCTGTGCAATATATGATAGTGTCAGCTATGACAAAAGAGCCATCCTCAAATTGAACCCTTCCATCTTCATGAAGGGACTCTATCTGCCAACAAAAAAAAAGAACTAATCACCATAAAAAATGATGCAAAAAATATACTAAACTTTCATCAATTCCACTCTTTCAATATGTCTAAAACCCATTTACTTTGAGTTGAAATTGAAACCAAAATAGTATAATTAATTTAGCTTTCTCTAAGCTGAAAATTACTAATATTTAATATATATATACCATTGGATGAAGATGCAAGTTGTGATGCTTGGAGATGACTTTGGATAAACCTTCAGTGATGTCAAGGGATCTGGCACTAATATAAACTTCCTTTGCCACTTCCACAATCTCCATTGATATATCTTGTCCACTTAGTGAGCTCCCAACAATTACTACCACCTGCAAAATTAATAAAAAGATCACCAAAATGATAAACAATGTTAATTTAATGTGTTGGTATTACCTCATTTCGAAATGGCTCTGGAATTCTGTAAATGTGACTATGCATTTGCTTCCTTTTCCATGCATCCATTCCTAAACACATCAATAATTTAAAATAATTAAGGATCACGCATGAATGAAATTACTTTTGATCATTGGAGATTGAAGTAACAGAGAAGAAAATAATACCTTCAATGGAGGGCAGTCTGGGCTGAGAGTAATGACCCGTGGCTACAACGACAGCATCGAAGACCTCTTCCACCATTTTCTCAGCTGTTTTTTCTTTGCTCTTCACAACCCATTTTAGATCTTTTCCAAACTTGCCATAATCCAACATTCCTACATGCTCAACCCTAGTATTAAACCTTATCATTTCTTTCAACCCAAACCACTCACAAAAATCATTTAGGTATAGCCAAAGTTCCTCGTGACCAGGAAATCTCCTCATGTCTCTACCTTTCCTCACCAAAAATGGGAAATCAGTGTACCCCATGATCTCCCTAGGGGATACAATCCTTAGAGAGTCATAAATGCTACTATGTACATTTAGAAATTTGTTCCTTCCTAAGGGATCCTCACTCTCTACATTAGACTCATATAACCATTGCCCACCAACATCATGGTTTTGCTCCAAAACCACCACCGTGTGACCCTCTTTTCTTAGCTCCCTCGCCGCCACCAGCCCTGACGGTCCGGCACCGATCACACAAACATTCTTCGATTGCCCCCGGATGGAAACCATGGTTGTACAATGTCGGATTCTGAGATTTTTCTTGAGGCAAAAAGATTGG